CTATGGAGTTAGTGGTGTGGTCATGATTTCAACCCCGGTAGCCTGAAGGACCACCACTTGTCTGTCAATTTGTCATACTCGGGTGGCTTGCTTGTTGCTATTATACTGGCAGCTATGTCACTAGCATTTCAAATATTATCAGGGTCACTTAATGTGGACAGGATTCAGAGGAGCTTTCAGACGAAGAATAAACTACAACGAAGGAAAAGGCTACCCACGCCTGAGGAATTGGCCCCTGAAAGCCTTATGAATCGTAGTGGACACTGTCTGCTCGAGGGCTAGGAGATAAGCCTCTTAGGTTGGAAAGCACTCAAAAATGACTGAGGCAGAGCTGCCGTCTCAGCGTAGAGATGCCCATGATAATAAAATTAGGGTCCCAAATAAAGCTTTTGAGATCTTCATTTGTTGATGGGGCATAACTTAAAATGAAAAGAAACAACTTCAAATTTCCATGAACAATCAAAACATGTAATGTATAAAATATGAATCTAAGAACATTGGAAATCATTTAAAGGAAATAGAATGCATAAAGATCGATATCCTAGGCCTCTCACCTAGTGAGATGCAATGAACTGGTATTGGCCATTGTTAATCAGATCATCCCATGAATTACCATGCTGAGCATGACAAATTCAAGAGGAATGACATTACATTCATGATCAAACATTTCAAGATCTATCTTGAAGTATAGTGTTGCTTGTGATAGGATAATAGCTATAAGTCTACAGGAAGTCCAGGTAACACAGCAATTACTCAAATTTACATTGTAACACTAAAGCTAGTGATGAATAAATTGAAAAATTCTACCAATTTCTTTAGTCTGAAATGGATCAAACATATAATCAAGTCGAATTAATAATTATTAGAGACTGGAATGAAATGGTTGTAACAAAGGGGGAGGATCAGTTTTTAAAAAATATGACACTGGTGATGGAGACTGAAAGGTGGAATTTTTCAGAGTCAAAGACTTTTTACTTACATAAATGTCACATGTTCACATGGACATGGCTAGAGGAAATAAAGTTGACTACATGGGTGGGAAGAGCTGATAGAGACACTCAGTAGCAGCTGCCAAAACGAGGTGAGGGGAGGACTGGGGAAGAGACCATCCATTGCTCATATGTGAGTTCAGGTTCAAGTTGAAGAAATGGAAACCAAAGCTACGAAGGCCCAAATGTCATCTTGGGTCAATCCTCTGTGGATTTTGAGAACCTCTCCAGCACAGAGTTGACGCACTGAACAGCACCAACAGAGGATCTGATGAGCTGGGGGAAGACACCAACAACTTCCGACATGATGGAAGCAACAACTCAGTACAAGGACAAGAAGAAAGAAAATATCCCAAGAGATGCCAGAAACGACTCAAACTTGCTCTTGGACAAACAGTAACGAAAGCAAATGTCTCAGGACATTTGTCAGCGATGCATCAGACCTCTGTCAGCCAATTGCTCCGACCTTTAACGTTAGAGTTGTACCAACAATATTTTCATCGCTCCAGCGACTTGTTTCTATTTTTTTATTACACTTATTGGTGCAATGCTGAAACATAGCAAAGTGGGCCTTACTTCAATCTTGGCTTTGCAGAATACTTGCTGTAACTTCCGGTCACCTAGAATGTCTTATTTCGCCTTCCTGCTTGTCATTCTGAGGAGAAAAATCGTCTAGGCCGTGCAGTCCCTCGAGAATGTCCTGTGGCTGAGCAATGCGTACTTTTTCAACTATCAGCCACTTCCCTGGTTACAAACAAAAAGCCCACCACCAAATCGAGTGGATTTTGACTCACAGCCACCCTAGAAGGATAGAGTAGAACTGTTCCTTTGGGTTCCTGAGACTTTAAATCTTTACAGGATGAAATACTGTCATCTTTGTCCCATGGAGCCGCTGGTTTTTTGGTGGTCTTAGGCTTTTATGGGATGGAATCAGGTAAAATGAGGGGTGTGAATTGCTCAGACACTATTTTGTTCTTTCTTTGTATGTTCTACAGTGCGTCTGACCCGCGGGAGTCTTCCAGAAGAAAGCAAGGCAGAATCTAACGCTGACTTATATCCTGATTTTGTGATTCATTTTTACTTCAGAATCTTAGATCATATTTTGAGAGAGCAGAGGAAGGAACATGTGGCAGTAGAAGGGGAGAGATGAGAACCAAAAAAGGAGGAGAGAAAAGCAGACAGAAACAAGATGAAGAAAGGACGGAGCAGAGACAAAAGGGACAGAGAAAGAATGAGAGAAGCTTGAGAAAGAGAGGAAAGAAGTGGGCATGATGGTAACTCTCTCTTTTTAAAAAATCATTTTATAGGGGCTCGTACTACTCTTATCACAATCCACACACACATCTTTTGTGTCAAGCACATTTGCATGTTTGTTGCCATCATCATTCTCAAAACATTGTCTTTCTACTTGTGCCCTCGGTATAAACTCCTAATTTTTCCACCTCCCTCCTCCACCCTCCCTCCCTCATGAATCCTTGATAATTTATAAATTATTATTATTTTTTCATGTGTTACACTGACCGATGTCTCCCTTCACCTACTTTTCTGTTGTCCATCCCCCTGGGAGGGGGTTATATGTAGGTCATTGTGATTGGTTCCCTCTTTCTACCCGACCTTCCCCTTACCTTCCTGGTATCGCTACTCTCATTATTGGTCCTGAGGGGTTTATCTGTCCTGGATTCCCATGTTTCCAGCTCTGATCTGTACCAGTGTACATGCCCTGGTCTAGCTGCATTTGTAAGGTAGAATTGGGATCATGATAGTGGGGCGTGTGTGGAAGCATTAAAGAACTAGAGAAAAGTTGTATGTTTCATCGGT